CTAGTTAAACGTTGACAGCAACTTTACACAACATTATCCCTTCCTTCAATATCTTCATATCCCATGAACAAAGTAATATCTACTGAAAAGAAAAGAGTTGTTGATGATGACAGATAAGCATTGTTCCTCAACATTCTTGATTTTAACTATAATGAGAAAAAGAAGAGTCTTTAACCTTGAGGCACGTAAATTATGCTAAATTTTCAAACAATTTTCTGTTGGTACGAGCTTCTGCAAATTGGAGATTATCATAGTTCTTACAAGAAGTGTAGCATTAAAAATTAGAAAGAGGCAACAATAAGAAATAGTTCCAACTGGAAAAACCAATCATAATTAATTAAAATCATGCCCCAATTCAAAACACCATTCAAATAATAATAAAAATTACAAAACAGATATAAAATTGACTTTGAAAACGCAAAATAGAAGATATGATACCATGGGCTTATCATAGAAGGGAAATCCTTGCATTTGCTATAGAGCATTGGAAGCAGAAGAGACCTCCTCAAAGACCACCAAGCTTGACCTTTGTGTTTTAGGGTTTTAAAAGTTAACACCTCAAGTATCTTTCCGAACTGAGTGAAAACAGCGTTCAGAGACTTCTTCAGCTCTACATCCAACATACGACAATTCAAAGAACTTATAATCCATCGAAATCGAAGATGCAGAAACACTTTTTTTGATATTGCAAAAGTACGAAAAGATAGCACTGACAAAAGAAAGAGAAAAGTCTGGTGTTACAAAGGAGTAGAGGAGAGAGAAAAAAAATGTTAAAATCATTTGTGCGTATTTAACGGAAGGGACGACATTGACGCAAAATTTACAAAATGATAACCAATTTGACACACTTTTAAAAGAAGAGACCTAATTTACAAAATTTAACAAAACTGGAGACAAAATAAGTTATTAAGCCTAAAACTAAATTGTTCCAAGTATATAAAACAAATCCATAAGATTCCTTAGCGCTTCTCCTAACTCTAGGAAGCTCGAGCATTATCTCAAACATCGATTCCCACATAAGAACATGAGTTATACAATAATCGCACAAATACAAACAAGTAAGGGTTAGCTAACGAATGATAATACACAACTCACCCACACTGCTTAAACCAATAATTTTATCAATGAATTAACCCATATTCATGCAAAACATCAAGAGATATCATCACCAAGAAAATGGTAAACAGTATGTCTTTTCTTCCCTGTAACATACAGTCACCTTGACTCCTCACCAGTAAACACCACTGCATCATGTATTTGTTGGTTGGTTTAGGAGATATTTATTTTATGTTAGTTTGTTTCCAGTTTGTTAAAATAAGTTGTGCAATCCTATTTTCTAGGATATGCAGATTAAATCTAGATCAGTTAACCATTCACGTATTTTTAGGAGGATGAAAATCGGGGGTGGATATAGTCCTTTCGGTCCTTCTTTTTCGGTCAGTTATCTCTGTATTTTGGCTTTATAAGCCAACTTATGTTTTGTTAATAATGAGAGATTATGCAACACATACCTTAAGTGAGTATATTATTCTCAGTTAACAATTGGTATCAGAGCTCCTATATAGGGGCCTGATCCTAAATCTCCTTGAGAGTGAGAGGAAAGAAACAACAAATTTATTTCAAAAAGAGTGTGAAAACAGAATGGCAGAGAATGATAAGTATGTGCAACCTGCAATCCCAAAATTTGCTGGTCATTATGGCATGGGCAAAGTTGATGAAAATTTCCTACGTTCCAAACAGTATTGGAATTTGGTAGAGCAAGGGATCACCAAAGTTGCAGATGGAGCAACACCTTCAGAGGAAGAAGTTAAATTGGTGGAGGAGCAGAAGTTAAAAGACTTGAAGATAAAGAATTACCTTTATCAAGCTATAGACCGTGAAGTGTTGGATACAATACTTAATGATGACACGTCTAAAGACATTTGGGATTCAATGAAGCAAAAATTCCAAGGATCTACTAGGGTGAAAAGAGCACAGTTGCAAGCATTACGCAGAGAGTTTGAAATTTTACAGATGAAAGAAGGAGAGACGGTCAATTCGTATTTTGCTCGTACTCTAAAGATTGCTAAAAGTATGAAAGCGTGTGGTGAACATATGGGTGAGAGTGTTATCACTGCAAAAATACTAAGGTCCATGGTCTCTAAATTTAACTACGTTGTTTGTTCAATTGAAGAATCAAACAATTTAGAGATTATGACAATTGATGAGTTACAAAGTAGTCTCCTTGTTCATGAGCAAAGAATGAACAGTAATGATGATGAGAAAATGTGCTTCACATTACTAATGACGATAAAGGAGGAAGAGGAAGAGGAAGGGGAAGACATTTCATTAGAGGCGGCCAAGGAAGAGGAAGAGGAAGAGGAAGACAAACCTTCAACAAAGCAGAAATGAGTGCTTTAAATGTCACAAACTTGGAAATTTCCAATATGAATGTCCCACTTGGCAAAATGCAAACTATGTTGAGGCGAGGTACAGGATGAAATAAACAGGAAGATGAACTCCTACTAATGGCCTATGTTGATCACAAACAAGGGAAGGAGAAAAAACGGTTTCTGAATCTGGTGTAGCAATCATATGAGTGGAAATAAGGAGTGGTTTTCAAACATGGATGAAAGCTTTAGGCACACTGTCAAGCTTGGTAATAATACTAGATTGAATGTAATGGAAAAGGAATGTCAGATTGAATGTCAATGGATTACAAATGTGATATCAAATGTTTACTATGTTCCTGATCTAAGAATAATCTTTTAAGCATAGGACAACTTCAAGAAAAAGGGCTCACTATTTTGATTCAGAATGGGATATGGCAGTTATCATCCTGGACGTGGGCAGATTATGAATGTTCAAATGAGTGGAAATAGGATGTTTTGTGGCAGCCACTATGATGCCAGAAAATCCTGCATGTTTTCAAACGGAGTCAGTAAATGAATCTCGTCTTTGGCACACCGATTTGGTCATTTATTACAATGCTTGAAGTTACTTTCCTCTAAAGAGATGGTTAATGGGCTACCCTCAATTATGACTCCACAAGATTTATGTACACACTGCTTAGTAGGAAAGCAACATCGAAATTCGATCCCAAAGAAAGGTGTTTGGAGAGCATCAACCAAGCTTCAACTTGTGCATGTCAGCTATGGGGCTTCACCATTAGAGGGTATTCTCAAGTTCATTTTGATGTATCTCGACGGTCTTCTTATGAATTGACTTTTACAATAGTGTCAGTTGGAGCTGGGGAATGCAAGGAAGATAGGGGGGTTTACCACAAATGAAGGAGACATTTTAAAAATAAGTGCTGGGGTTAAAGCTAGGAACAGCAATGGACGTGGGATAAGGACGAAAATTGAAGGTGAACAGGGCGGTTTTATGGGGACGGGAGGGTGTGGTGTCCCATCAACGAAAGGTGGTCTTGCGTACGAGCGTAGCTGTCAACCAAGCTTCAGACTTCGATAGCAACTGCAGACATATGTGGCCTATCAAACCCACCTCAACAGTAACAAGAGGTATATCTTAAGTTTTATTGATGATTTTTCTCGAAAAACTTGGATTTACCTCCTCCATGACAAATCTGAAACTTTTACTATTTAAAAGTTTCAAAGTCTTTGTGAAAAAGAATCTGGTGTAGGATACTGCTTAGGACGATAGAGGTGGTGAATTTACCTCAAATGAATTTGGAGAATTTTGAAAAAATCAAGGATAGGACACAGTTAAAGCAGCTACACTCCTCAACAAAATGGAGTGGCCGAAAGGAAAAAACAGAACAATAATGAAATGTGCGTACATGTGGCTGAAAACAAGTTCCTAAATATTATGGCAGAAGCTGCCAATGGTGTGTGCAGTCCTAACAGGTGTCTACAGTAGCTGTACCAGACAAAACTCCAGAGAAGCTGGAGCGGCGTTAAACCACAGTGAAATATTTTCGGTCTTTGGCTGCATAGCTCACACTCACATACCAGATCAACAAAGATTCAAACTTGATAACAAAAGCAAAAGTGTATCCTGTTAGGAGTAAGCGATGAATCAAAAGCCTATCGCTTGTTCGATCCAATCTCGAAGAAAGTTATTATCAGTAAAGATGTTATTTTCGAAGAACAAAAGAGATGGAATTGGGAGAAAACTGGAACAGAATGTGAGCAAGATATTTCAGATTCTGAAAAGATGTGCAACTGAGAATGAATCTGAGGAGTGGGAAGAAGAAAATAATGTACTGCTGGAGATTTCACAAGAGCTGGTGTACACTCTGATGACCCAACAATTACATTCATGAAAATCCAATTGAAGGGAGGGTTAGACGAAAAGAGAGAACCAAGTTGGATGCTTGATTACGAAAGTGGAGAAGGTTTGTCAGATGAAGATGGTTTGATGATGGTAACCGAAAAAGATCCCTTGTCTTTGAAGAAGCTGAAAAAGATAAGAAATGGAGGAATGCAATGATGGAAGAGATGAAATCAATAGAGAGAAAAATAAGACTTGGGAGTTAGTTGATGCCCCAAGTGGAGTGAAGCCCATTGGAGTCAAATGGATTTTCAAGACTAAGCTCAATGAGAATGGTGAAATAGACAAATTTAAAGCAAGATTAGTGGCAAAAGGATATGCTCAAGAATATGGAGTTGATTACACAGAGGTGTTTGCTCCGGTTGCTCGGCTTGACACTATTCGCATCATACTTGCATTAGCAGCTCATTATAGTTGGCCAGTTTTTCAATTAGATGTGAAAAGTGCCTTCCTTCATGGTGAACTCAAGGAAGATATTATGTGCAACAGCCTACTGGTTTTGTCAAGAAAGGGGAAGAAGACAAAGTTTACAAATTAAGAAAGGCATTGTATGGCCTTGAAACAGAGCCCCAAGAGCATGGTACAGTAAGATAGAGAATTATTTTTCTCGTAAAGGCTTTGAAAGGTGCTACTGTGAACATACTCTTTTTACAAAATCAAAAGAGGGAGGTAAAATTTTAATTGTAAGCCTTTATGTTGATGATTTGATATATACTGGAATGATTGGAGCATATGTGATGGAATTTCAAAATCATGATGTCAGGGAGTTTGACATGTCTGATTTAGGAAGAAGAGGTATTTTCTTGGAATAGAGGTTGTGCAAAATTCAAATGGAATTTTATTTGTCAAAGAAAATATACTCATGAGAACTAGCAAGGTTTTGGCAGGGAGAATAGCAATGCAGTAAAGAATCCTATTGTCCCAGGTACAAAACTGTCAAAGGATGTTGCAGGGACTAAAATTGATCCAACCATGTTTAAGCTAGTAGTTGGCAGTCTAATGTACTTGACTGCAACTCGTCCAGATATTATGTATGGAGTAAGTTTAATTAGCAGATTCATGTCTTGTCCAACTGAATCACATTGGGTGGCAGCAAAACGCATATTAAGGTACTTAAAAGGTACCACTGAACTGGGCATTTTTTACAAGAAGGGTGGCAGCACAAATGTTGTGGCTTATTCTGACAGTGACTTTGCTGGGGACTTGGATGATCGTAGAAGCACTTCTGGATCTGTGTTTTTACTTGGCTTTGGAGCAGTTTCATGGTCCTCTAAGAAACAACCTATAGTAACATTGTCTACTACTGAGGCTGAGTATATAGCATCTGCCTCTTGTGCTTGTCAATGTGTTTGGATTAAAAGGATATTGGAGAAGCTTGGCCTTAACGAGCAGAACAGTACGTTAATTCTGTGTGATAACAATTCAACCATACAATTATCCAAGAATCCAGTGTTTCATGGGAAAAGCAAACACATTGATATAAGGTTTCATTTTTTGAGAGATTTGGTGAAGGATGGAGTTGTCAGGATGAGCTATTGCAAATCACAGAGTCAAATTGCAGACATTATGACCAAGCCTCTGAAACTGGATCAATTCTTAAAGCTTCGTAGTATGCTTGGCATGATTGAAATTTCAAAATTAAACTAGATGTCATAGCATATAGTTTAAGGGAGGGAATGTTGGTTGGTTTAGGAGATATTTATTTTATGTTAGTCTGTTTCCAGTTTGTTAAAATAAGTTGTGCAATCCTATTTTCTAGGATATGGAGATTAAATCTAGATCAGTTAACCATTCACGTATTTTTAGGATGAAAAATCGTGGGTGGATATAGTCCTTTCGGTCCTTCTTTTTCGGTCAGTTATCTCTGTATTTTGGCTTTATAAGCCAACTTATGTTTTGTTAATAATGAGAGATTATGCAGCACATACCTTAAGTGAGTATATTATTCTCAGTTAACAGTATTAGCCCATCAATTCAATAATTGACATAAAAACACTATAACAATAGACATCCATCCACCACATAACCAAAACATGATCTTTACAAAATTGAAATTTCTGCACAGAAACAACACGTATACAATTTATGTAAACCAGTGGTAACAAGCATATTAACCCTTAATACCATATCATTTATCCATAACCACTCTAGTGCAAAGAATAAACATCTGAAATGCACAACCTAATGAATCAAAAACATACCTGGACATTATTCTCTTGCAATTAGGCCATGAATAATAAAATACAAAGATTTATCTCATACCAACAAGATGTACACATACACAAAAACATCACCAACAACAACAAAGATATACACCCAATACCACATGATCAATGTATCATCATCACACAAAACAAAAAGAAAGGAACAACTCCCCTTACATTCAACATACTCATAATCCATACGAGACAAGAACTAAGGTTAGCACCCCTTACCTTATCTGCACATAATGCATCCATTAAGCTCTTGATTTTTCCCTTTTTTTTTCTCTATACTGCTTATCTGTTAGCTTTCCTTCACACACTGAACCAAACCTCCAATTCCAAACAAAAGCACGTTAAATCTCATGTTCTATCCTGTAGATTGTTTTTGCACTTTGAAACAAAATAAAATCTCCAACCCCAAAAAAAACTACAATGCATTCACTCTAACAACAACCATTTAATTCACCTTAATGACCTATATTACTCCTTGTGCATGCGTCTAGATACATTGAATCTGCCTACATCTTTTCACCTTCTAAAGAAATGCAAAACCTAAAAGAAACTTTTGTTCTAGCCAAAGTTCGAAAACACCATCCCAAGCTTGAAACAAGCACACCAAAAACATACTAAAACACATCCAACACACACAACGAGAATCAAACACAGGACCTCCAACCCATAACAAGAAGCTTTAACCAATTGTGTTACACTTCACTCCTCTACAAACTATTATTTCTAATTTTAATTAATACTATTCACATCCAAACTGTCATTCTAGAGATAAAGAAAAACATGATAAATCTCCTTCTAGGTCTCACCAAGAACCACCGATTAGAAGTAAGTTCCCAAGTGTCACACTCACCACCACTCCACTTCTCAAAGGTAAGTTCCATAAAAGGTTTTAATTGTTTAGGGTATGGGCACATTGCTTTAAATTGCCCAAGAGAGAGAACTATGACCTTAAAGCCAAGTGGTGAGATAGAAACTTGGTGAATTAACCATTGGAAATGATGGATCCACAGTCCAGAATTAGTTGTTGTCATACCAAGACTACTTTTGAAGATAATCAATGGTGCTCTTGTCGAGCTGGAAAGCCTTGGTGAGAACCTCAGAAGAAATAGGTGGATTAGCTTTAAACAAAGCATTTGCAATTGTGATAGTTCCAGGATTTTGGCTACTAAGACCAGCAATTGCAACAGCATTGCCGTATCCAACATTAAGTTGGAAATGAATGAGACCAATTGGGAAGACAGACATCACCCTTGTTCAGTACTTTGGTGAAGAGGCGATTTCCATCTCGATTGGAGGTAATAGGCAGACACAACTGAGGATGTCAAAGCCAAGATGGCAAGAACCAATACACAACTTTCATTTTTCTTGTTTCTGCTATTTATAAGGATGAAGCATTGAATTGGTTTTGCAGTTCATAATAACCTAACCAATTCTTTATGATGATGAACCATTCCATCACAAATTTACATTCGTATGCCTGTGCTCGATCAAAGAGTAGACTAGGGAAATGTTCCTTGTCCACTTGAAAAAGAAAAGGAAATGTTGTAATTAATATTATTTTATCCATTGACTTTAAGTCTATTGTTGTAATTAAAATTATTTATTATGGGAAGCCTGCTAACTAAATCAAAGATTAGTTTTGACTTTTTCTCAATATTACACACTTTGTGATACGAATTATTTCACATATTTACTTTCGAAATTTAACGTATTAAGATATACCTTTTGACTTTGTACTCCTTCCTGCATGTTTGTTTTGGTCTTAATTCAAAATGATTCCCTGTGGATATATAAATTTAAGTTAACGCGTATGATGAAATCATACTTCACCATGGATACCCAAAACAAAAAGGTGAGACATATCTAAAGCAGTTTTGAATATGTATTATATTTTGGTTATTTCTTTAATACACCATTTAAAATGCATTTTAAAGAGTAAAAATAATAACGAATATATTGTAAGTATTGAAATGAGAAAACAGTGAAAATGTAAGAAATTCACTTTCAACTCAATCTAAATTTTATCTAAAGCATCTTTGCTTATTCAGGGTTTTAATTTTTTCATTACCCTACGTTATGTTAATATTAATATTATTATTATTATTTGGGCAAAATATTAATTTTAAATCCTTGAAAAAAATTATGATAATGAAAGTTCTTTTTCTTTTTCTTTCTAATTTTAAGGTTAACAAGTTAATTAACAAACGCAATTATTAAAATTATTATAACTGAATATTTCTTCTTAAAACGATTTAAGGTGAATTTTCGAGAAGAAATATATACTATTTTTCTTTGATAAAAGATTTTCGTAAGAATCGAATACACATAAATAAAAGTTGACAGAAACTATGGTACAACTCGCAAGATAACTCAATATATGTGTAAGTTTTAATTTTTAGGTTAAAAATAAAATGTAAATATTTTAAATAAATTCTGCATTACTCATGGATAAAACAAGTTTTATTTATAATCTTCAGGGTTATCCATGATCTCCTAGCTAACTAAAAGAAATTCAGTGCAACTTAACATATTTAATTTATAGTATTACATATTAGGGTTATGTTCAAGTTATTTGATTGAAAAATTGATCTATAATAGTGACTCTCAATCTTTCTTATTACACTCTGATATACATTCAACTTCCATGTTTTATTGTTGTGACTCCTTCTTCCACATCTCGAAAGAGGATTTCTAAGCCCACTTTCGATTCAAAGATTCAAGACATTCTCAATGACATAAAGAAGGATGTTAATCTTATATAACAAATTAAATGGAACTCCAAATACAGCAGAAACAACATACAAATATAAGTGGGAAGAATTTTTATTTATTGCATAAAGAAATAATATATGGGTAGAAAGAGGAAATGAATACAGTGAATGAATAATGAACTAGTGGTTGTTGTCAGTCCAGAATTGCTTTTGAAGGTAATCGATTATGCTCTTATCAACTTGGAAGGCTTTTGTAAGAACCTGAGAAGAAACAGAAGGATTGGACTTAAACAAAGCGTTGGCAATAGTGATAGTTCCTGGATTTTGACTGCTGAGAGCAGCGACGGCAACGGCATTGCCATAGCCGACATTAAGTTGGAAATGAACGAGACCGATTGGGAAGACAAAGACATCACCCTTGTTCAACACTTTGGTAAAGAGACGGTTGCCATCTTGATTGGAACTCACAAATCCAACATAAAGAGTTCCCTCAACAACAATAAGGATCTCTGTGGCCCTAGGGTGAGTGTGGGGAGCGTTTAAACCCTTTGCTGCAAAATCTATACGAGCCATAGATATGCCAAGTGTGTTCAATCCTGATAGCTCATCAACAAACACCTGACTCACTTGTGCTCCAAGTGGGTTCGATGTATTCCCAGCTTCCACGTGTCTGAAGAAATCTTCTGCTTTCACTGCTTTTGGGTCTTTGCAAACTTTTCCGTTCACAAATACTGCAAATTCACCACAATCACTTTTCAGTCTCTAATACTAATAATAATCTTACCCCATTATGTAAATAATTTATTTCTATATACGTACCAGCACTCTTTGTGTCATTCAAAGCAACACAAAAATCTTGCAGAGGGCTTGGATCATAGGCTGAGGCAATGGACGACGTTAAAGCCAAGATTGTCACAAGGAAATACACACTTTTCATTTTGCTTCTGCACTCTATTTCTCTATGATTTTTGATAATTGATTGTTTCTCACAGCGCTTTGCTATTTATAGGGATGAACCCTTTGTCTAGCTTATCATTCATCTTTACCTCCAATTCATTTTTTATTAGTTGAAGAACCATTCTTTATTACTAGCAAGATGTTCCACGTCAAACTAAATACCTCGTCCAATCGGCCTTCTACCCACTACGTACTTGTTCTTCTCTAATATTCTTAAATTATAATTTAATCAAAAAGGCATTAGCCTCGTCAATCACAACTTTATATTTGGTTGCTATCGATTCAGCATACTTCATACTAATTATAAAATCCTTTCCCACTGCACGAATCATTTATTTATTCATCAACAATTTTCTAATCAAATATTGTGCCACATGACAAACTTCTCTTTGCTTTTACTTCCTATCCTGCAATACACTCAAGGAAATATGTTCTATCTTTGAAAGACTCCAAGACAATACAAACCAAATCAACCTTTTATTTCATAATAGGATATACACCAAAATACTTCCGCTTAACAAGGAAAAGGACAGAATCTAGCACAAATTCACACGAAAAGAAAATCACAACACTTATTCAATTAAAATAATACAATCTCTTGTATTCTCAAAAGTATTAGTTGCATTTAAAAACCTTAGAGCAAAGCTATATTTATACAATTAAGAAAACACTTTAAAGAAAGCTAAAAGGTATTTGATAATATATTTCAAGCATTAATCAATTACCTAACCAATTCTTTGTGATGATGAACCATTCCATCACAAATTTACAATCGTATGCTTGTGCTCGATCAAAGAGTAGACTAGGGAAATGTTCCTTGTCCACTTTAAAAGAAAAAGAAGTGTTGTAATTAATATTATGCTAAATATGTTCAACTTGACAGAACACTGAAATACTTCCGTTTTCAAATTAAATTATCTAATTAGGTCAATAAATAATATATTCTATAAAAATTTTAACTAATTCGATTTTTTAATTAAATTATCCAAAACCTTCTAATTAAATTATCAATCCCTCTTTTATAATAATTATAACAATAATAAAATAATATAAAAACTATAATTATATATATATATATATATATATATATATATATATATATATATATATATAATCTTATAATTATCATAATCATACATTTTTTTATATAAAAACTTAAGTATTTATATAAACTATATTTAATATCAAGATTTATAATTGTTTGTTTTTAGATAATAATATTTAAATGTTACAATACCACTTAATACAATTATTCATTTATACTTTATTATATTTTCTATTATTTATACTTTACATTGCTTATATAAGACCTGCATTAGCATTCATTCATAAACACGAAATTGCCCTGAACTGCTTCCTGATGAAATGCAGAATCCCAGTTTTAGTTTTCATGCATAACCTTCGTTTTTAAAATCCTTCCTTTCATTCTCATTGCATATTCTATTTTATTAGGACAGGCTATGGTTATTTCATGCATTGATTCTCCACAGTTCTCATTTTTAGTTTTTATAGAATTTTCATCAAACAGTTCTAAAAAGTACTGTACTGAATTATTTCCTGCATTTGTAATTAACCAGGTACATTCCATTGTAGATTCATATTAGAATTACTTAATCATCTGTGTTTTCTACTTATTGCTGTTAGCATCTACATTGCAATAATCATGTACATTGTATATGCATAATATTCTTCCATCTTTTGGACTGAGATCATTACAAGCATAACACTCATTTGTGAGTCATCCACTATATTATATTAGTGGGAAAATGAAGTTTTTGTTTGTGGATATGCTTAAGTTGTTGTTTGTATTCAATCCCATGAGTGAGTAAGTTTTTAGATTAATAATTTTGAAACAAACTCATCAAGTAGGACCATGTTCTTTTCTTTAATATTTTTTAATAGCTTATGATATTCATTGATTTGTATATTGATAACCATGTTCTTATCTTCTATCATTTTCCAACAATAATAGTTTTTAATAACAAATCATTATCAATAGTGTATTTAATAACAAATGGATCTAAATACATCTGGATTCCTTGTAGGAGAAATACTCATCCACATCTTCAATAATGTATTTAAAAATAAAAGGATCCAAATACATTTGACTTCCTTGTAAGAGCAATTCACATCGCACATATTGTTAGATAATGCACTAAACAAAGTGTCATGACATACTTTATTCACGTGTAACTAGTGTACAATATACTTTTGCAAATGTACTGAAGTTGGATTTGGAAGTCACAAGAGTGAAATCCATTCCACAGATGTCCAACAAAGCATACATACGTTCATGCCAGCATAAAAACTTTTGACCAATGAAACAATCAATCTGAGTTGTAGCAACAATGTTTGGCTTCCTTGGTGTAATGTTAGTGTCAATGTTCATGATGTCTGTCTTGTTAGTCCCAGGTCCTTAAAATCATAGCAAACGTCAGAAGATATTATAGACAATGTGGTTTTCTAAGACATGAATGAACGTTGTCCTCTGTAGTATATTACATAAACTCCTCGGGATACAAAAACAAGTGGAACCAAAGATCACAAGAATTAACGACAAAAAAGAGTCATGATTAAAGATAGAAGAGATATCTATTTATGGAAAGTGAACACTCACTAGGTAACAAAAGAGACGGATGCATGTAATAGAGAAAGGAGAAGCAATGTTCATGTTATCATGAAAGCCAAGGGTCCCACAAGTCAACCTTCATGCAACGCAAAAGCAAAACGTCGTACAAACCAAGGGTCAAACGCTCACAAGACCGATAACAAGAAAATATGGATAAGACTCCAAATATGTATATCATCCAAATACAGAGAAAAAAAAAATAAATGGTACAAAGGACATGAACCTCCTTATGCACACGGGAAAAAGAACAAGAACATACATAGAAAGCTGAAATGAGAACCACAACTTTATGCGTACAAGACCCATCACTTTTCCTACCCACTTCGAGTATATGAAGCGGTATTATATGTAAACCTTTTGAAAGTGTCAGAACTAAACAATGTAGTATTAGTTGGCTTTTCTAATACCCAAAATGCGTAACAATATCTTGTCCTAGAAAGAGTCAAATACACAAAGCGCAGCCCTCTTACGAAAATGCTTTAACTTATAAAAGTACTCAGATTTGATGTACATTTTAGGGTTGGAAATATCCACGTCTTCCATCGGTATTTGCTGAGCCAAAGGATGTATACTCCGCTACGTCTCCAAGACATTACATTTATCACTTCCAAACCAGCCCCAACCCCTATGGACTCTAATTTGAAGTTGAATGATCTGTTCATAGATTGGAAGTGATAGATAAACAAAAAATCAATTTGACAACGAGCTAACTTTATGTAAAGGAGTGTCAAAGAACATGAGATTTCACTCAGTCATAACAGAATATGGAAAAGACATTGTTAAATGTGTCAACATTTATGTTTTCTATAAATAAAAACATGTCAAACTCTTTTAATCCCCGGGTTTAATTTGATGACTATCAGCACAAAGCAATAATTTCATCCCCTGTGAACGGAATTCCACAAGAGAGTGATTTATTTACTCCTGATTTTAACTTTCAAACTCCAATTAAGCTTGCCCTCTGGCAGGGGGATAGATATTGGTAATCGCAGTGGCACCTCATATTCTCCCAACGTCGATAAAGGTGATGGAAGATGCAGGTTATCGGGTGCAATGTTCACGCAGAGTTGTCTCGCCACCTTAAATTAGAATAATATATAAAAGTCAGTAGCATAGAAAGAATGAAGAAAAAAGAAGTAAAAGGAAGAAAGAAGCGTACCCTTCTAGGAATGAACATTTGGCATACATTTTGGTAATTTCAGACATTTGATCTAAATATGATTTTCTTTGAAATAGATCCTAGTTTGGTGATAAGACACTAATGTTTAATTAAATTAAATATGGTTTGCAAAAGAAATACAAAGATGTAACACCCGTGAAGAATGATCCAAAGAGAGTGAGAGAATTGGTTAAAGGTGATAGTCATGTGGCAAGCAGTACAGAAAATAAAGATTTGCACAAAAGTTCACGTATGAGGAGAGAGAGCATAAAATTGTGTGGATTCATTCAATGAGAACGTGTGTGGTATGACCCTTCTCTCTGCAATCTTTTTCTTTGACCATTCTCTTTGTCCCCTTTTCTCTTACCTAACCTCTCTTTCTGGAAATTCCTTTTCAGGAATGGCTCTCTCCCAAATTGACATCCCAGAGCTTATGACCTCTGCAGCCACTGTTTCATTGTTCTGTTTTTTTTTTTTTGTTGCTGTCAAATAGTTTTTTGATTGCTGTTTCAGACCCTATTCTCTTCTTATTAATACAAAAGCATATTAAAATTCCCTTCAACTCTAGCACTGTTACATAAGACCTAGGACAAACATGGATTCCTTCAGTTTGAGAATAAGGAAGGATGTTAGAGACAACGACCAGCAAGATCTGTGCATAGCTATTAGACATTTGAGTCGCAAATGAGAATTATTTTCATAGAAATTCTTCACGTGGCAAATAAAGATTATTTTTAGAGGAATTCGTCATTTCCAACAGTCATATTACTTTTGCTTCTTTTCTTTTTAACATTACTCTTTCCTGTATACTTAAACCGACCCTATTTCATTGATAAAAGAACAAGTAGATCTCTCTCCCTAGTTTTAGTACCATGGCAAGATAAGTAGTAGGGTAAACATTAAAAATATCTCAGAAACTGCAATATAAAAAAGTTAGTTGATAAAATTAAGTGAAGGCAAAGAAAGAAAGGAGAAAATAGAAAACTATTTGATGAAATAAAAGACAGTATTAATTCCTGTTTACACTGATATTAGACTTCAAATCCTAATTCAATAAGGAAACACATCATGAAAAGTGAAAACCATTCATCAGTGGTCGATATTCCAAAATATTTTTAAGATGCAATAATAATATTATAAAATATTATCCCGATATCTAACAATCATTCTCTATTTCTGAATATTGACAAGGGTATACACTCTAACAGACGATACTCTTATTTTTAACTTTTTACTTATCAGCAAAACATTTCAACTACAAAGAAAAAGAACAAATATTACCTCAGCCACAAGATTGTCTTTTGTCACAGCAAAACGTAATTCCAAGGGGTCAGCTTTGGATTCACGTGACTTGGCCTTTTGAACATCAATTAACCTCCGCAAGACCTATTAGATCATCACATCCAGGCCCATATTAAAAACTTAAATATCAACTAGCTAGTTTTAAAATGAAATACTATGAAATTATCAACTATACATTTCTATTTTTGAAACTCAGCAAATAAAATCTTCACTATAATCACAAAACATAGTCTAAATTGAGGTTTAATTAGTAATACATAAAAAAATGTAAGAGCAGTAACCTGTATTCTCAACAAATATTATAGAAAATGAAGTTAATTTCCCCAAGGATAGCAGAAATAGTCTAAAACAGCAATGAAAAGCTTTAAAGAGTAGACTACAAACCAGCTTAGCTTTATCAAGACGTAGTGCAGCTCTTTCATACTCTTTCATCTTATCTTCCTTTGATTCTTTAACTACAGTGACATCTTCTTGTTTTTCTTCCTCAGTTGGTTGATAGATCTGAATCATTTAAAACATAAAACTTCCAAATGGTGAATACAGAGAAGAAAGTTATGTAGACTGCCTATGCACCAAGAAAAGCTTAAAATATTGACAACATGAACCACACGCATTCACATAAACAGAGAAAGAAATGTTAAGGACACAGTTGTCTTATAAGGATCAGATATCTACAGCATTATCATATCATGAATTTAAAAGTTTATTCCAGAACATAGTAAACTAAATAAAATTGAAAGTGGAAATCAATTTATCTAATGATGAATGGCATTGACCAGGAAGTAGCACATAAAAGTAAGTAAAACAGAGATTAATGGAAAAAAAACACACCTTGCGCTGCTCGTTGAGAAGATAAGCAAACTTATCGATGTTAGGGAAAGCAAGGAGCTTAGGCATTAGGTGGTTGCGAAAATATCCAGGGGCAACTTTGACAGTATCACCTGCCTTTCCCAGCTTATCTATGTCCTGTAAATTGGAAATATAAACTTTCAGAAAATTGAATTAAATGGAATCCCATTAAACAAGCATCACAACTAAAGATAAATATTTACAGTTGTAAGGATGACTTGGAGCTTCCTCTTGTAACGAAGCCCTTGGGAAGCAAACAGGAGTGGGTTTACCACAACATTATCATAACTGATATCTCTAGATCTAATGATCTTTCTAACACCATGTCTTCCAAATTGAAGATAACCCATTCAGATTTGGATTCAGATACACAGTCACCTTTTTCCTCACTGTCAACATCCAAAAACAAATTACTATCAATATGACAGTTTCAAACCAAACAAACTCATCTCTTCGAAACTAAACGCTTTGGTTGGACATTCTTAAGAATAACAACAGCAATGAATCTTCCCGTGCTATATAGTTTCACATAATACTAATGTTATAAGAACCAAACTATAAGCCAAAGACAGTTGGATAACCCGTAATCAAACCAATCAAACAACAACATTGATGCCTCACTGGTTTGATATCCTGTTGTTCCGAAAATATGGTAACCTTACACATTAAGCACACAAATATAATCAGTACCCGAAAACCAGATGTCCGCTGGTAATATTATTGACAGTAAATAATAACAAAAAAAAGTTCCACGCTTTTTTTTTTATCTTTTGAACCTTGTTTTTGTTAAGTTACTTCAGATGCAAACATGAAAACCAACAGGTATACTTACTATAGCATCACAAATTTAACCATCAACCCATTATGAAACCTTAGTTTGGAAGCATTTCATCATATATATGGCATGTGAGTAAGCATGTTCATTAAATCCCCACAGTAAATATAACGCCCTTAACACAAAGCACCGACCAACTCTAGCATGTTCACACATTCTACCCAAACATAGATTGGAAGCAAATATAAATAACAATACAGCACTAAAGTTTGCCAACAAGAATAAAAACCGTTGAGAACACAGATATTGCTACGAACCATTTTAATTCTTCCTGGCCACGGGGAATGTGAGTTGAATTATATTTTTTTTTGCGGCAACAGTAGCATTCGCGGGTCATGATATGCATAAAGCGATTAATTTTAAGACACTGATTCAGTGTCGGGTTTCGATGGCAACCAACTAAGATGAACTAAAGCAAATCAGATCAATGGAGACTTACCGTAACCAAAGAACTCAATTAGGGTGTGGGCATTCAAAGCCCGAAACTTTCTTCACCGGGCTTCCGTGAACGCAGAGTTTTGAGCTGAAACTGAAAGGTTCAATGTTGGACCTGGTTATAGGGTTTAAAGATGTTCATTGAAACTTCAAAAAGGTAAAGTCTTTGTTGTTTACGTGGCTAATTCTATGGGCATTTTATTTTACAACGTCTACCTTTTTTATTAATTGTTTTTTAAAACTAATTTTAGAATATATTTATAATAATTTGTAAATGTTCCAAAACTTTCGAATATATTACGTATATTTTAAAAGACATTATGATCTACTTGAATAAGTTAATTTATAGCGAGTTAAACAAAGCAAAAATATTTGCTTATAGGTTAAAATTAATTTATATTTAAATTAAAAATAAAAATATAGATAAAATTATTAAAAAAAAATTATGTAAGTTAATTGAATTATTTTTTACTTAACATACCCGACCCAAATACCCAAATATGTTAAGGACACTATTCATCAACCTTTCATTAGTAAAATATAAGCAGTTTTATTATCTTTTAAACAATCATTAAATGTTTTTTAAATTCTATATCCAATATTTAGATTTTTACTTAAACCACATAAATGGCATAATAGATACAACATTTCATCATGAGTAAAAGTTATACTTATTCTTTTACATATAAAACACATTCACTTTCAATTCATACTATGTTTGTAACAAACTCTATAAATCTTAAATTTTGAAATCTCACAAGATTAAGCTTCTACCCATTAAAAAAAAATATTTTTCATAATTGCTAACACGCATAGAAATAAGTCTAACATAATAAATTTAATGAAATTTCAGTAGCATTTTACATTGGTCTCTAAAATACACAAAATGAAACTGATCACGGATGACCACAATCAAATATGCATCTCAAGAACAATACAAAGTGATCTCAACTGAAATTTTATGAAATTTATCTATAAACTCCAATGCACACGTTATACCAAATTATGAAAAATATTTTTTTTAAATTGTCCGATCGAACAATTCAAGATTTAATACAAACAATTAAAAGTTTAATCATTTGTGTTAAATCTCAAACGAGAACTAAGTTTCACTTAGTGTTTACTATCATTTCATATTACAAACATTTTCATATTTTAATGAAAAATAAAATGCCAAAAATCACACTAAAAAAGTTGTCTAAGTTAAAAAGAGTACAAGAAACATACAAGATTCAATAACACATAAAAGAAACAAGAAACAAAGTATAATAGCAAAACTAAACAATTCATCTCTAATAATCCATGAGTACATTGCAATGTATATCAAAACCAAGAAACTAACCATGTTGGAGGAAGATGATGTCAACAATGGAAAGTGGAGAACTTATCGTTATCGTTGTTTGAAGTGCTAAAGCTTCAATAGTGCATGAAACTGAAATGAATCCACCAAAACTAAAAAAAATCGCAACCAAGTGATGAATCATTATTTTGTCCTATTCACTTAGTTTTCCGCACCAAAATTAATTGGTGAATTGTGCACAATTGTCCATTATTTTCTCAATTTTTCTATTTGGGCTTAATTTGACTAATGATTCATATTTTAATTAATTTGCATTTATGAAAACTTTTTAATCTTCGCTTAGTTGGTTAATTTGTGTTGGATTAGGAGTGAGAGGAGCGGATAATTATTGCTAATCAGGAATTGGAAGCATTGCAATTGGAACTAGTGGTCAACCTATCTTTAATTTGTGATTTAATTGGCCTTTAATTTGTGTTTTGAATTCGTAAATCTGTTCACAACCCCCTCCCCCCATTACGTGTTTGATCCTTTGACGAAACCAAAATTGATCATTGAGAGACAACCTAGGAGTCATTGCCTAGTATACTGCATTTGAATTGCACAATCAATTTGAGTCGAGCGCAACATCAACATCACCAAGGTAGCGGACACACATACATTTAAGGTAAATGGTTCAAAACTAACCTTTGCACTTCGAATCACTCTCATCAACAAACTGTTCATTCACTTAGAAGTGGCAGAGTTTTAAATCATGTCTAGGACATTGATCCTACATGGAAAATCAATTTCAATCGATAAAACACTAAGGAAAAATATCATCCAAGGTAGTGGAAACACTTTCATTATAGGTAAGTGGCACAAAACTAACATTTGTTCTTCCTCACACTCATCAAGGAAGTTGTTGGTTCAAGTAGAATTGAAAGAGTGAAGAAATAATGTGGCCGAACTGTTTTAGAAAAGTTTTGCAGGCCATATGGCATCGGATCACATGGAATTTAACATTTAATAGCCTTTCAATGTTTTATTGTAGGTTGTCTGACATCTTATGTGGCTAAATTTTCATTTTCGCACCCAATATTTTAATGAATTTACCACATTTAGATGTTGAACCATTGACCACCGACGTGTAATTTGTACTTTAGCAACTCAAATGTCTTTTCAATTCAACTTCGAGTGAATGCAAGCAATCATATGATGTCAGAATGAAGGATTTTCGATGAAAAATGGATATATGATGTCGGTGGGTGGTATATTCAATGTGTAGTAGATGGTTTTATTTATAACAATGCCACTGGTCATTTTTTAAGTTGTTTTTTGTGGTCTGACATTGAACACGTGACATGGAAGGCCTTGTTTCACACTAATGAAGAGTGAATAATAGTGCGTATAAGTTCAACCTACCTAAGGAGTACGAAGTTAACGCCACCTTTAATGTCACTTACCTTAATCCTTTCACAGGTGGAACTAATGATGAGGCAACCCTTCAAATTTGAGGTCAAATCCTGCTCAAGAAGGAGGGGATGATCACATACCTCTAGCCAATGGGCTTAGTAGAATAATATAGCCTTAGAAATTGTGGGCTTTGTGTGTAAGATGTGTAAATTCGGGTTATTTGAGTTAGCTTGGGCCTCAAGCAACCCTGATTGTCCATCGAGTGCTTTCCATGTGGTATGTTACGCGCCTTCTTCATGTGAGAAGCATTACCTTGCCACATAGGCAAGTCACAGTAGCGACATACTCTCTTTTGACTCCAAAATTCAAATATCCTTTCTGAATTTCCCTTTTCTATTGAAGAAGCTTGGCTCTCCTTTGATTCTATAAATAGAGAAATATCCCTCTTGTAAAAAATGCTCACGAATAGTAAAGAAACTTTGATGATATTTCCTCTCAACTTTGTGAGCCACCCTTAGGATAGGTTCTCTCCTATCTTGGCTTCCTCTAGCCTTCTTTAACCTCACTTGATTGAAATAGTCTGGTCAATGTTTACCTCACCACTCTTTTATGGTCGATATATGACAGGTTATCCTTAGTAAGTTTTGCTTTGTCCTGTTTTTTAGAATTGTTTCTACGATAATAAATATTATCATCATAAGCTAGCTTTATATTATAGAAAAATTCATGTAGTTCTCTTTCTCAATTTTTCTTCATTTTATTTTATCTACTATAAGGTTCCCCAAACATACCCTCTAGATTTACAACTTAATATGCATATTCAATAAACCCTATATTCTATAAATTCCATGATAGCTTTATGTAATCAATTTTGCCCCGACTAATGAGTTGGAATATTTTTTCACATTTCACCAGTATTTGAGAGTAGTCATTTATAGAAAAACTCCATTATTGAAAATTTTCCGAACACCCGTCAAATAACATTTTTCTTTCTATTTGGGAGGGAGGTAAAGTAGAAAGAAACCACAAAGTAACAAGAAATATGTTACATAGGACTTTAACCTCTCAATTTTTTTGTAAAAAACAATAATAAACCTCTTCCACTATTTTCATGGATTACTCCTTCATAATTTGGTGCATAAATCTTTTTATCTTTGTATATCATAACATCATATTGTCAAGGTATCACAAAAAAAATGTGCATTGAAATCATTAAAGTCTTTAGTACTAGAATGTTTTGTACAACAATATGAAAAATTAGTAGCTTAGGAAGAATGAGAAGCCAATACAACATCAGTGACCTCAACAGCCATGGTACTTTGTTGACTATTAATGGTAGTCTCCTCTGCATTTCCTGTTATTGTGGTAGTAATTACACTTCTAATACTCCCCCATTGTAGTGTTGAACAAATCCATGTAAAAGATGCACTTGTCCATATATAGATTCTCCTCAATGGTGTCAATGTTACATGTATATAGTTAGTGAATGTCTCTACATCATTCATGAACACACAAATCATATTATATAACAATGCTAAAATAGAAACAACAGCACAGATGCAAAATAGGCCAAGGAAAGGTTGAAATCCTGTTGATGACCCATCTTTCATTTTGTTATGTAAAGGAGAGCAACTTGAATTGCCTCCTAACATCTCTTTTTCTAGTTCTTCTATCTCTCCACTCTCTATCACTTTCAGCAATGCCTCAGATATGTCGGCAGCCAGATTGGAACCCTTTGGAAATACCTGAGTAATGAAACACAAAATGTACAATTTTCAAAAATAGGGAAAAGTTCTTTTAAAAAATAGCAGATGCAATGTTAAAAAGGTGTCTAGGTTTGGTAGGAATGAGAACTGGGGAGTGCACGTAAGATAATGATTGTTAATATTGGCAGTTAATACAAGAAAACAATCATTATGTTTAAATTTCAAGTTTTCCTTACAATTACCCTATTTTCCACTATAGTACCAAACATATCATAAAATGGAAAGGAAATAATGAGGGAAAGAGACCCACAAAACCTATGCCATCAAGCTTGAAAGTGTTGCCTGCTTTGATGAGACCCTTGCAGGAGTACTTTGCCAGAAATACCTTTGTATGAGGCGTACTAAGGAAAGCTGCTTCAATATACTTATTTTGAAAGGCATTAGGGTAATCACTTACGGAGTAAATTTTTCTGATGTTCTCTGGCTTGAAATTTAGTACCTCAGTCAAATACTTCACAATGAATGAATTTCCATTACAACCAACCGGGGAATTTCTTTTCTGAAGGGTTTGGATATCTAAAACAGATGGCACTAGCTGTGAAAAAGTCATCATTGAAGTCAAACTTGCTGTGAAAGTACTGGTTGCAATGAGGATAACGAATAACCATGGTGCCATTACAGTTCGAGCCAAAGGGCTTCTAATTGGTTCTCCTGCACATTATTAGATTTGGAAATGTTCCA